ATATTACACCGCGCAGCCGCATATTCAAACAATTTAGCGCGTAATTTATATGAATGAAATTTTTTGTGGCCTTTTCACCAGCCATCTTAATTAATAATCATTCGATCGCCGCAAAGATCCTGATAAGCCGCTGTGTTGCGTTTAAATGTGTGAATTGTTTAATTATTGCAACCGCAGTGTCTTGATCTTGCTTAGGTAAGTTATTAAGACATAATAAGGGGTCTGCTCGATAATTGATTATTATTTTACCTTGCTTAGATTGAGTTCGTTCGCTAAGACTAATTGTAGAAAATCATCTGTTGGGTTATTAAAAGTGGAGTTGCAAGGACCCAGTGTGTTTTGTTTAATTCCTTCATCCAGCGACACCCTCCTTACACCCTGAGATAATCGGACACCTTACTGTGTTCCGCTACACAGCTATTGTTATGCATGCTGGATCTTTCATGTTCAAGTATACGCTGATGGACGTGTTTCCATGTACTAAAACCATTTTTAAAAGCATTTTCCTTTATTATATTATTAAATGCTAAGCAAATTCCTAGGAAAGCCATTAGAATGGTAGAATGCCTTTTGAATATTAAAGGGTACATTTTCGTGTTCTGTTTTTTTGGGTGGTATTTAAAAAATAGTCAGTTCGTCAAAATTTGGTTTTGAGAAAAAATTATATTCCTCAAAGTCTTTGTCTATCTGTTCCTGTTCTGTAATAATAATAATAATAATAATAATAATAATAATAATAATAATAATAATAATAATAATAATACTAATAATAATAATAATAATAATAATCTTTATTGGCCACATTATGTTTACAGAATCAAATAAATAATAAAATACATAATAATATTTTACATAGTAAGAATACAAGGCACTAACGTAGAACGTATAGATACAAAACATTTGTAGACAGGTACATTTTACGGTATTTAGATATTCCTCCACAGAGTAAATACAAAAACTTAATAGGTATTTTTTTAAGGTGGTCTTAAATTTATCATAGCTTAGTGATTTTAAGACGTTATTAAGTACGTTGTATAGGTTAACGTTTAAGGAATTTTTTGAGACCTTGGAGAGTGCTCCAAGAAAGAGTTTTTTTCAATTGTCTTAAAATAAAGTTAACTGTTGAGAGTTTATTACATAATTGATGTATATGAGGATACCATGAACGTTTAGGATCAAGGTGCAAGCCTAATAGCTTCACACTATCTACATTGTCAGTGATTGCCCTCATTGAGATGACTAAGCGCTGAGTTTTTTCAATATTTAAAGTAAGTTTGTTCGAGGTGAACCACTTCTCTGCCTTCTTCATACCATCGAAACTGGTTTCATATAATTAAAAAGGTCGTTAATGTTAATTATAAAAAATAACGGGCCAAACACAGAACTCTGAGGTACTCCATGTATCATGGGTAGCCTATTTGACAGTTTATTTTCTATGGACACTTGTTGACTGCCTATTCGATATGTATGACATGAAAAGAGAGAGCGGTGCACCTCGAACGCCATAGTGGGACATCTTTTCCATTAAGATCTGATGGGAAACGCAGTCTAAAGCCTTGGAGAGGTCAAGCAATGTTATACCAACATACCTACCCCCCTCAAGACCATCTAGTATATGACCAACAACTTTAAGAACAGCATTTGTGGTGGAGCATTTGCTACTGAAACCATACTGGCATGTATTAAAGTCCTCATTTTTTTCAAGAAATTTAGTTAATCTATCTTTTAGTACTATTTCATAAATCATACCAAATAACGGGACTATGGAGATAGGACGGTAGTGGTCAGGACTGCTTGAGTCAACTTTTTTAAGTATTGGTGTCACCTTTGATACCTTAAAAACGTCTGGAAAAATACCCTCAGTTACACATTTATTGTAGAGTTGCGCCAGCGGGTTACTTAAAGTATCGGCTTACTAACCTACTATTTATATTATAAATGTCTGTACTAGCACTGTGTTTTAATTTTTTAATTGTGTTTTTAACCTCGTGAGGTGTAAAGGGTTCAAGGAAAAAGGACCTGGGATTTTTGTTCTGAGTATCCTTTAGAAAGTTTGTAGCATTTATGTCAATTTTGGTAAATTTTGGATTAATTTATCTGCAACTGATGCAAAGAAACTATTTAAATCATCAGGAGAAAGTGATAAATCAATTTTTGAAGTGTGTACTTTGTTTCTTTCATAGTTTATCAGTTTCCAAGAGTCTTTTGCTCTATTTTATGAGAGTAAGATATATTTATCATAGGCCTCTTTTTTTGTTAGTTTTATAGTTTTAAGATAATAAGATTTGTAACTTTTGTAGGCAGATTTAATGTTTGGTTCTTTAGTGACATCGCTAATTGTTTAAAGACAGAATAAAGTATCTCTAATTTTTTTTAGGGGATCAGAAAACCCATTTACGGGTTGGATTTTTTTGTATGTGTATTTCCTTAGTGGAACATTTTTTTCAGTTAATAATTTATAATTGAAGCGTGGTAATTCAAAAGCGTCCAAGTGCCGCTGCCGTGCAAAGCACAAATGTATTGAACAATATTAAGTAATGCATTAGTTACCACCTTTTTGCTTAGCACTGCAGTGGCACTTAGACGCTTTTTAATTACCACGCTTCAATTGTTGAGCAAAAATTTAGCCATAAACGCACTGGGATGCTTAGAGTTAGCTAGAACACTCCAATCCAAATCTTCCAAGTCCTTTTTAAAATTATTTAATTTTTTGTTTGAGATTATTCTTCTCCATATAGGTTTTTCAATTGTTTTAGTGCTAGTATTTATTTCTATAATTTGACCTTTATGATCAGATAAGCAGGTATCAACAAGAGCCGTCCCATATTCACAGTCCAAGTTGGTAATTATGTTATCTATACATGTAGATGCACCGCCTTTCCGCTTTACAGCACTACTTTTATCCATTGGTAAACAAATTAAAAATACGGTATGTTTTTTAAAAACAGTAAAGCGATAAAAACAATCAAAACAATCTGTACTCTATAAAAATAAAAACTTTTCTCTTCCAACACTAAGGAGTAATCACGGAGCAACAGGTGATATTATTGTTTACCTTTCTTTCTTTCTTTTTCGCTTTTAAGCGTCTTAATTAGCATAGAAACTCGCGTATTGGAAATCTTGGGATTCCCCTGGGGGAGAAGAAAGATGCGGGCGAGTTCGTTAAACTTCGTTTATAATCGTAGTGTTGCATCGCCTTGATTAGACAAAAGGGTATTCAGGAAATACACTGCAGTCTTAAAAAATATGTCGAAATGAAAAAGCTTATTAAAATAAATAGTAAATACAAATATATTGTATTCTCCTCGAGAAGTTGAGTATTTGTATTTTTACATATTTTTTTCAACGACCGGCCCAATCTGATATAGCGGCCCACCGGGATCTGTCCCGGCGGCGTATTGGCATTGTGTACTACGATACAGAGCCATAGTGTTCTGAATCGCAGTAAGGATTGACAAAATTAAACGCCACTAAGTACAATGCAATCCATACTACGATTCAGCACATCTCCCAGTTTGTGATGTTCTGAATCATAGTAGAGAATGTTGAAGTGTTTGCGCGAATGCAGCAGGCCATACTTTACTGCGATTCAGAAAATATTGGCTATGTGCCGCACGCATAAAGTAATAAGCCAGAGTTATAGGTTATGTTTGAAATTAATTAATAGTAGTGAAACAGACCCAACCAAATCTCACTGACAATATTTATTTTTTATTATCGATTTTTCAAGTTAATTAACTTAAAGATCGTTTTACCCTAAAATTTTATTTGGCTTTATCATCGACAATCCTTAATAGATTTTTATAAATATTTTAGTAGTTAATACCCTCATGTTTCTATTTTTCTTTCTTAAATATAAGAGAAAAAAGCAAAGGATTTTATATATTTAAAAAATAAAAAATATAACTTTAAATTATTATATCAAGTATAATCTATGTATTTTTATTTTGTGTCTATTAAAGAAAACAACACAATACAAAATATAATATAATATAATACAATACAATACAATAAAATAAAATTTCTTATATATGTATATTTTATGTTTATGTTTTTGCAAAATTAATAGTTATATGTAAAAGTAGAAAAAAAGCCTATTAACTATTTCAAATATTATTTAAATCCGTTGTGGTACGTCTATATCTGATACTTGCAAAATTTTTGGGTAAAACGATCTTTTTGTTAATAAGTTTGAAATGATTTTTTTCCTTTGGGTTAATGTATATTTATTATTAAAACTGCAGAGAGTACCTAGTTTGTTTTTAATAATATTTATTAATAAATAAATTCCAATTAAAAATAATAATTTGTTTTTTATTGATAAGGCGTGCAGCTAGCGTATTTGTAGGTAAGCTATCCAACTACAATTCAAATTAGAATACTATTTTCTGAATCGTAGTAAAGTATGGCCTGCTGCGGTCGCGCATATCCTACACCATTCTCTACTATGATTCAGAACATCACAAACTGGGAGATGTGCTGAATCGTAGTATGGATTGTATTGTACTTAGTGGCGTTTAATTTTGTCAATCCTTACTGCGATTCAGAACACTATGGCTCCATGATACAAATTATTCTTTGTATCATGCTATGGCTCTGTATCGTAGTACACAATGCCAATACGCGTCCCGGCGTCCTGCCGGAGCCCATGCGCGCCTGGGTTATATTAACATAATATTAAAATATATTTTAATTGAAACTTATAATATAAATTTACTTAATATGTAGATATGCTTTTGATAGCGTATTTCCTTTGGTTTGGAAAAACCATTTATTTAACCTTTTCCCCATAATGATCATGTGCATGTGTATACCATACGTGTACTTTATTTTTTTATTTTATCTTTCACACATTGTTTCGTTTCTTAATGCATATGTAAATAAATAAAATTATAACAGATAACGATTAAATTACATAGAGGAAATACGAAACTAAAAAGAAAAATGCATTCGGTTTTTTTTCTAAAAATAGAAACATCACTGCAAGGGGGCAATTCTGTTATTCAAAAGTTACCTACTTAGTGTCATTGAAAGATGTTTAGTAATTTGTTGTAAAATTAAGTTATTTTTACTTAATCAGATTCCGTGGTAAAATGTAAATTATATCAAAACCAATATGTATGACACTAAGTCTTGTTTTTGATAATAACATCCTGTTAATAATATTATATTATGGAATTACTTGTTTACTATTGTATTTATGTTAGAGAAGTGCTGCATTATTTAATATTATGAGAGAATTTTGGTGGATTCTAATATTTTCTGTTATATACAATTGTAGGTTAAGTGTTTTATTTAAGACAAATTTGTAAACATATTTACATTACAGGTAGTTGTTATGAATCTTCTACAACCAGTGATGATTATAAAGACAGTAAGTTTTAAACAGTACCTATTACACTAGATTTTATTATTAATCATTAGATACCCAGGGCCGGATTAAGACAATTTGTCGCCCTAGGCCAATAATAATGGCGCCTATAATTACAGCCCATATGTATTAGTAGGTACCTAATAGGTACTACCTATAGGTATATATGGAATTAATATAACACAATACATGTTAGCTGACAGGGGTGCACATAGGGTGCACAATTAAGGTTTTATAAAAAAATTACTTTAAAATAAATAAAAAATAATTTATTTGTATGTAGAAAAACAAAACAATGAAGAACTCTTAATTTTTGCAATTTTTAAATACCCTAAAACAGAATTGTACCTTGTAACATTTCGTCGTTAATACTGCAAAAGGTCACTTTGACGCCTTTCTGCACAAGGGAACCGACCCACAAAAATAAAAAAATTGAGATAATTAACCCATCACGGAGGAGGTCAACCGATCATTTTGAGCTCAAAATTAAAATAGGTTTTAGGTCGAGAAAATTTTATTCAATTTTTTTTCCACATATTTTTGAATTTTTTTTTCTCGAAAAAATTTTATTATATTTTATTTTGGTGAAAAAAATTTATTTATTAACATCCCAAATTATAATATTCCCCATTAAATTATTATTTTCTATAGAAAAAATAATTTATCAGGGATGTATTTCACAAAATTAATTTTAAGTAAAAATATAAAAGTTGATATTTTTATTATTAATTTTAAACTTGTTTTTAATGAACTTATATTAACTTTATAAAGTATACTTAAATATATTTAAATTTTACTAAAAGTTGTCTTAGCTTAAGTAAAACTAATCTTTTTAGCTAATCTGCGGACTAGGCCAAATTAAAAACATGACGTTTAAACTTAACCTAATCCAAGTTAACTTAAATGCTAATGAAGACTGCAGCTGCAGCATATAACTTTTGGAAGTCTATGGGTCATATTCTGGCCAAAGAGTATTTATTTATTTTTTCTTAAACATGCTTTTGGTCTTGCCGAAACTTATTAAACAAATCCTTAAACGATTTTCGTGTGTTTTTCTTTTCCACGGCATTTTAGAAAAAATACTAAGAACTTAAACAACTTAAATGTTTCTAAATACTGATAAATAGTTGTTTGGTTGCCATGTCAACAAAATTACCTCAATGTGAAATTGCACATGGCCGACTTTTTAAATCAGATTATATTAGGTAAGTCGTAGATTATAATCTAAGACTTACCTAGTATAATATAATAATAATTATTTATGTTTAGTTTTACCAAAGTTTAATTATGTTTTAATTAGTTTTAATAAAATTTATTATTAAGGAAAAATCCATTTTTTCAAGTTAAAAAACATACATTTTTCAAACAAAAATTATTAACATCGATTTTTTTTACTTGGATATACATACTTTTGAAGAGTACGACCCTAATAAATTAACTTTTCTATAAAAAACAATTAATTTTGTATGAAATTATTATGATTTTAGTTACATATTTTAAATTAATTTGCTTCACCACAATAAAATATACTACAATTTTTAGGGTATTTTTTTTTAAATCAAATTTCCTTGAAGTGATGACCTATGACCTATTTTAATTTTGGGCTTTAAATGACACTGTGCAACACCAAAAATCAAACCGCACCGGACTATTTTTTTCTGAAAATATACCTATCCAATAGCAAAACCCTCGCTGGGTTTGTAAAAGTTAGCTCGATTTATTTTTTTATGGCCGTTTGTATTTTCTAGCTTCATATACCCCAATTTAGACTTATTAATCGATTTTTTCGCATATATTCGATTTATATCGTCAAGATTTTTTGTAGAAGTGTAAGTTACTGAACAAATAAATCCATTTTGTGAACAACCTATATCCCCAAACCCAATTTTTGGAACCAAATATTCGAAAAATTATTTTTTTTTTCAATTTTTTCAATAATATTTAAAATTTCTTTCTACTTCTTCTGGCAAAAATGTTGTAAAGTATACAAAAAGAAGTAATTTATAAAATACGCACACAAAACTGAACTTTAAGTTTACTTATTTGCTGAAAAACAATTTTTAAACAAGATTTTCCAAAATATTCATCTTTTCATACTCAACACCAATCTTTTTGCCGAAATCTTTGGAAAATCTATAGAAAAAAATTGAATAGATAAAATAGAATTGTAGAAAAGTACAGAGAGTTTGATTTTTTATTTTTTATTAATTTTATTATTAAAAAACTTTTTTATATCAAAACATTGAGTAATCTGATTCATTGCTGGAGAATTCCATCCCTTCATTTCATATATTTTTATATTCATTTCATTTCGGAAGACTTTGACAGGGCCTTGGTTGACAATGAGATAGTTGCGTGGGCGTCGATAAGAGAAATCATCGTTGGACTTTTAGGCAAACATCGTTCTCCCAATTATGAAGGATCTGTGCGACGAATGTTGGATGTTTTTTTTTCCAAAATTGGAGTCAATATGTCGCTAAAAATTCATTTCCCTCATCGCCATTTGGACTACTTCAGTCGACAGTTATCGACACAATCATCAAACTGCGCTGCCATTTGAGTCCAGATAAAGAGGAAAACGAGCTCCAGATGCCATACTAGCCGAAACATTTTGGTGAAGTAAACATATTTTTGACTTCGATCAGAAATACAATGAAAATGAAGAACAAGAAAATAAAGGAGAAGTGGAAGGGATGAAATTCTCCAGTGATGAATCAAAAAAATGAAAATGAAGAGCAAGGAAATAAAGGAGAAGAAGTGGAAGGGATGGAATTCTTCAGCAATGAATCAGATTACTCAATGTTTTGATATAAAAAAGTTTTTTAATAATAAAATTAATACAAAATAAAAAATCAAACTCACTGTACTTTTCTAGTAGAAAATTTCTACAATTCTATTTTATCTATTCAATTTTTTCCTACAGATTTTTTGGCAAAATATTTGGTGTTGAGTGTGAAAAGATGAATATTTTGTAAAATCTTGTTCAGTTTTCTGTGGGTATTTTATAAATTACTTCTTTTAGTATACATTTTTACATATTATCAAAAAATTAAAAAAAAAAATAATTTTTCGAATATTTGGTCCCAAAAATTGGGTTTTTTGGATAAAGGTTGTTCACAAAATGGATTTATTAGTGCAGTAACTACATTTCTACAAAAAATCTTGACGATATAAATCGAATATATGCGAAAAATGGTCGTATATGAAGCTCGAAAATACAAACGGCCATAAAAAAAAAAATTCGAGCTAACTTTTACAAACCCAGGGAGGGTTTTGCTATTGGATAGGTATATTTTCAGAAAAAAATGGTCCGGTGTGGTTTGATTTCGATGACCCAAAAATTGTCGCACAGTGTGATCGGATGACCTCCAAGAAACATGAAATAAAAAAAAAATGGAGTGTTTGCACTTTTGGGTTAAACGTGTTTTCAACGTACCGTGCCATATATCCCGATTTTTTATTTTTGTGGGTTATTTCTCTTCTGCAGAAAGGCGTCAAGTAATTGATTAATTTTAATATTTAACCAACTTAACAAAAAATAAGCCATCTGCCATCTGCCTATTGGCTTTGCGGCGCCCTATAGGGCCTATAGGCCATGGCCTACGTTAACCAATTGGCCTATAGCACTATAGATACCAGATTCTAGGCATTTTGATAGACCGTTAAAAATTCTTAGTGCACGCAAAATGTATTTAGGACGTTTTTAGTGCAATTTTACCTTTTTGCATTTTTAGACTTACAAAATTACTAAAACCGCCTCATTTTAAATGCACAAAATAGCTTATCAAAATAAACAAACATACCAATTTAAACACCAGACCTTTGCAAAGCTTTGCTCCGACCTACACTCAGAGAAATATCAAGTTATGAAAAGCATATGAAATTATATTAATTTAAATAATCGGGTAAATTTGATTCAAATAGAAAAATTTGTAGTTTTATATTCATTTACCAACAGTTTTACAATGTTTTGAAACACTTTTAAAGTGTACCCTCTTTAAAATATATATACAAAAAGAAATCCATTTATTTCATTGCCTTTCTCAAAGTTGTTTCAAAAAGATATGTATTATACAATTGTTATGAACCTATTAGTTTAATGGGAAATACCAATGACGCCAAAACATATTTAAATCCCTTTGAATTATAATTATTATCGTTTTGAATGATTCTACAACATTTTTTCTCTCAGTGTATGCGCTCCGACGTGACCACTTATAAATTTTTTTGGTCAGAGTTATGATCAGAGCAATGACGCGGACGTTCTTTTTTCTCTTACATAATATTTTATCGCATCAACGACATAATTTTACAAAATAAAATGTCAAACAAATGATTGTTTGCTACTTTAATGACAAATAAACAATAAAACTATAAAAAATGCTTTGATATTTATTGAATTAACTTTTTCTCTTACATAATATTTTATCGCATAACGACATAATTTAACAAAATAAAATGTCAAACAAATGATTGTTTGCTTCTTTAATGACAAATAAACAATAAAAATATCAGAAATGCATTGATATTTTGTTGAATTAATTTTTCTACTCCCCCCTTTAAAACGCCCATTATCGTACATGTTTCCATTTCACTAAGTAATATTTTAAATACACATTTACAAGCTGTAACTTTATCGCCTTTTAGACACGGGCTGAAGTTAGCGGCAGTGACCTTCGGACTTTTTACTCACGGGCAGTTAGCTTTTAGTTAGTTTATTGTTTTAATACATAAATACAAAATTATTAAATAGTTTCTGGAAATGTTTATATGCACGTTACAACATATAATTTTACCGAAAACCAGTAAGTATTTATCATAAAGCATTAATAATTTCGGGTGGGGTACCCATAAAAACATATTTTTTACTTTCACGGTGAAAAACAGCTTATAGGCATGTTTTATTTACAAAAACTTAGTCTCTTTATTTCTAAAAATTAATAATAATAATAATATTAATAATAATAATAACTTTATTGCTCAACACAGTTAAATTCCAATTT